TATTGCCTGAAATTCCGGGCTTTATTCATGAGTAAGGAGTGAGACTTTTTCTCAAAAATGTTTCATAAAAACATACTTAAAGAGCACATTTGGACAAGCATCAAAACACAAGATTACTTCTTTTCAAAAACTTCAATCATTTATCATTTATTAAGGAAATTATTTGTTAAGTAAACATTTTATTTAAACTTTATTACATTATTTTTTGATTTTACAAATTTAGAAACTATTAAAAAAATGCCTTTGGTATACATTAGATCCATCAAGAATATGGGCGTAAGAACTTGGCTACTCTAGAAATAACTATAAATTTACTCAAGGAATCCTACAATGTATTTAATTTAATTTTATTTGCTTTCCAAGTTTGAAGATTAGATTTGTAGAATACTACCAACTTTTGAGAATTTCCCAATTACGCTAGATATGAACAGTTCTGGAAAGGTCGGTAGTAACTTACTTTCCTTACGTCATTGGTAGTGCAGCACAATGGGTTATTTTTTTCATAATATAACCATCGTTGAACAGCCTACCCAATTTTTAAGTTTACGACTACTAATGTTCAACTCCGTATCCTTGTAATTTTACACTCAATCCAGAAGACAAGGGAACTCATGGTTCAAGTAGTGGGAGAAATTTGAGTTCGTAGAGTACTTTTTGATGGAACCAACCGGCATTTGAGTTACATGGAGAGAAAAACCACGAAATCCTCCCAAGGATGACCTCACGGCAAGGGGACTCTAATCCATGCTCCGTCTACCACTGAGGATAATTTACGTTAGCACTGTGTAGCATGGTTCGAGCAGGGTGTAGGATTTGTATCGATCAGTCATCGCTGGGATTCGAACCCGTTTCACCTCATTGGAAGGCGAACGCCTCACCTAAGCCACAATGGGTTATCGGTGATGGTCAGGGAGATATCCCAGAGGATGGTACGAAGACATGTCATCACAATTTTTGTGCAGAGGGACTGCTTTGGTAGCCCGATGCTGCGTGCGAAGTCAAGCCCTTAACGGTAGAATAATTTAACGAGGACGAGTACCAAATACCCTCGGTCCCTACGCAGGCTGATCAAAGTGATCCCCCACCTTTACTGCGGAACTGTTCTGAAAAGATGTGGGATAGTTATGCTAGTTTTTCGTGACTAATTTATATTGTTTTATTAATGAAGCTGTTATTGTTTTATTAATTTCGTTGTTTTAACAATCAACCCAGACGATCCGTTTCATTTTTAAAAAAATGTGCATGCTTCTTAACTATTCCATTACGTTAATAGTGTATACTTCTTGATAGTCGTGCATATGCTATTAAAAAAAACGCATTATTAACATTAACTTCTTAACATAAACTTTTTAACTTAAACAGTTACTTAAACTTTTCAATTGAACAGCTTAAGCTTATGTACAGGTGCGTGCGGAATAGTACGTAAATGATATCAGTGCTTCAATGTCAGGATTATAATCCAGTTACCCAAACAAGTTAAATTTGAACGTCACGTGCTTGACTTGAGACACGCCACGCGCGTTAACTGCTTGATAAGGTTATCGCTTACCAAACTTTTACAATCAAAAATTATTTTGATCAACAAAAAAAAATACTACACTTTGGAGTATTTTTACGTTGGATTTTAGAAAATTAATAAAATAATTTATATTTAATTGCAATTAAAATTAGCACGTTACTAATAACTGTATGCTTCATTTAATAAAATAAAAATTTAAAATAAATGGGTATTGATTCTCCTACCTCTATGTTCTGCTTTCGCAACATCAGAATCAACGTTATCTAAATTTTAAAGAAAATAATTAAGCAAACCAATTAATATAAAATAACGAATAAGTAAGTAGAGTCTTACTCTTATAAGAAGAATTTAGATGTGAAGTGCATTGCGAAAAAAAAAGAATAACTTTGAATAATTGATGATCCTATCTTCGCTTACTAGGGATCAATTTTAAATGTTCAAACCATTGTATTCTAGAAAGTGAAAACCCGATCATTAGATCATAAATTATTCAGAGTATTCTTTTATTTATTTATTACGCACCTACAAAAGAAATAATGTCCCGATTTAGACATTCTCTGTTGAAGTAGTAGAGAAAAAAAGTTTCGTATCAGTGAGTGCAGGAATTGGGACTCACTTAATATTTTCACATGAAACTGTCATTTCTTGTTAGGTGTTTCAAATTAGTTTGATTTTAAAAGTTAAAAATACAATTTATACTTCAAATATCATAAAATTCATTTTTAGTCGTGACTCAGGTGGTAAAAATCTCTTCTCGTTTAAGAATTAGGAAAAATTAAGAACATTATTTATTAATAAAATAATAAAATTTATTTGGCCTTGGTAGCCCAGTGGTTAGAAAAACGAACTCCCGTCGGGGCCTATGTTCGATTCTCGACTCCACTAAGACCCACCAAGTACACGGGATATATGTTCTCGTAAAATCTGTGGAATCGAAAGTCTTGTGGTTAGTCTCTGAGCAGTAGCATGGGTACAAAAATCCGCAGTTAATATCCTCCCCCTTCCGATCTATGTCTAAATTGAGGAAGTGACCTTATGACTGATTGGTGCTGCCATCTATACGTGGGTTTCAGAACCATAACGTACTTTCACTCTTGCGGTGTTAACTTACCCAACAGAAGGACCACCATCTTGATTTAGTTTACAAAATATCAATGGCTGGTGAGCTTGGCTTGTCCAAGTGTTATTATAAACAACAAGTTAACATTTATTTTATATTTGTAAAGAGAAACATCAGGTGTTTTATGTTTTATTATCACATTTATGTTTTAAATTTTTTTTATTCTAAATTAATGTAATCTAAATTAATTAATTATGGTCGTTATGCACTCGCATAAATTTCACCGGATGCGTATCTGACGATTGAGGTGAGAAAATATTCGTGTATAGTCAAGAGATAAACTTGCAACGGTACCTTCATAGTTGTCGTCCTCGTCTTGAACTTCGCTATCAGCAGCATCAACAGTAGAATAACCTTCGGATAATAAAATAGAATAACTTGATTCTATTCTTTCAATAGTTCATCTCAATTGCACATTTCATCACGAATATTTCAGCACGGTATATGGCATTAAATATGTCATATACTGTAAGAATATTTAAAAAATAACCAAATTAGAGTTTTTTTAGCCTCTCGTACAATGTAGTAAAATACTAATGAATTATTTTTAATTCTAAACTAAATTAAATTATACGGTCATTGTATACTAACATCAATTTAACTGGATACGCATCTCAAGACAAAAGTGAGAAAATATTCGTGTATAGATAGGATATAAACTTGTAACAGTACCTTCATAGTTGTCGTTCTCGTCTTGAATTTCGCTATCAGCAGCAGAAAGTCTATCAACAGCATCAGCAGTGGAATAACCTTTCGGATAATGAAATAAAATAATTTGATTCGATTGTTTAAATAGTTCATTTCAATTGAACATTTCAGAACGGTATATGTCATTAAATATGTAATATACAATAAGAATGATTTTGAAAAAAAACTCAAGTTATGAGTATTTTTAGCCTCTCGTATAATGTAGTAGAATAATGTAGATTTTTCGATTTATTTTAAACTAAATTAAATTATACGGTCATTATGCACTCTCATAAATTTTAGCGGATACGTGTCTCAAGACAAGGGTGAGAAAATATTCGTGTATAGTTAGGAAATAAACTTGTAGCAGTACCTTCATAGTTGTCGCTCTCGTCTTGAATGTCGCTATCGACGGCAGAAAGTCTATCAGCAACATCAGCAGTAGAATAACCTGCCGGATAATGAAATAAAATAATTTGATTCGATTGTTTCAATAGTTCATTTCAATTGAATATTTCAGCGCGGTATATGTCATTAAATATGTAATATACCATCATAATAATTCTAAAAAAAACTCAAGTTAAGAGTATTTTTAGCCTCTCGTATAATATAGTAGAATAATGTAAATTTTTTGATTTATTCTAAACTAAATTAAATTATACGGCCATTATGCACTCTCATAAATTTTATCGGATACGTGTCTCAAGATAAAAGGGAGAAAATATTCGTGTATAGTTAGGAAATAAACTTGTAACAGTACCTTCATAGTTGTCAATCTCGTCTTGAACTTCGCTATCAGCAGCAGAAAGTCTATCAGCAACATCAGCAGTAGAATAACCTTCCGGATAATTAAATAAAATAATTTGATTCGATTATTTCAATAGTTCATTTCAATTGAACATTTCAGTACGGTATATGTTATTAAATATGTAATATACCATAAGAATAATTTTAAAAAAAACTCAAGTTAAGAGTACTTTTAGCCTGTCGTATAATGTAGTAGAATAATGTAAATTTTTTGATTTATTCTAAACTAAATTAAATTATACGGTCATTATACACTCTCATCAATTTTACCGGATGCGTGTCTCAAGATAAAGGTGAGAAAATATTCGTGTATAGTTAGGAAATAAAATTGTAGCAGTACCTTCATAGTTGTCGTTCTCGTCTTGAACTTCGCTATCGGCAGTAGAAAGTTTATCATCAGCACCAGCAGCAGAACGACCTTACGGATAATAAAAATAAAATAATTTTATTCTATTGTTTTAATAGTTCATTTCAATTGCACATTTCAGGATGGTATGTGGCATTAAATATGTTATGTTCCGTAAGAATAATAAAAAAAAATCTAAGTCAAAGGTTTTTTAACCACTCATATAATGTAGTTGCTAGAGTTTTACGAGGACGGGGGACTAGCCCTTCACTCTAACCTCTCCATTTTATCCGGGCTTTGGACTGGTTTGGCAGAAACAGGAACGAAAATAAAAGCCAAAATATGAGATTAAATGAAAAATCTCAAAGAAAACTAAGAAATGATAATGACAAAATTTAAAACGTCGATGAATTTCCCGATATCGGTTCTGTCCTTGACCGCATTCTAAGAATATAGGCAGATATTAAAATGACTCCGTTTATAAGAAGATATGACTGCTTTTAATAAGATGTGACACTGTTTTTTATAAGATATGACTCTGTTTATAATAAGGCGTGACACTGTTTTTATAAGATGTGACACTGTTTCCTATAAGATATGATTCTGTTTTTAATAGGATATGACTCTTTTTTTACCTCGAAAAATACCGGAAGACAACGAGCATTCAATGCAAAACCAAAATAAATATCAATAAAGCAATCTTCTGAGCAATTGTATAATATGGCTCTGAAACATGGGACCTTAGAAAATCAAACATCCGAAAACCCGTGGTATTTTCTTCGAAATAACTGTCCTGAAAAATTTTCAAAGTCGTTTGAACTGTTAAAATCAGAAACAAAACAATATTAGAAAAACAAACAAACTGCAACGGAAAATTAAATCAATGAGAGTAGGTGGAAATGGATGGTACACGTATTGAGAATGCAAAGAGAAAATCTAGTGCATGTTTCTCTTTCTTGGGGTCATCAGGGAAAGAGAAAAAGAGGAAGACCAAGGCTTGCCACAGCTACGAATGAAGGCGGATTATAAAAGAGAAAAATTTAAAGGATCAGAGAAAGCCAGATGCCAAGCAAGCCAGATCCCCAGACCAGGAAGCATGGAGAAATAGGCTGGATGCCTTATGGGCCAAACGATGTAAAGAGCCTCAGTAAATAAGTGTAATGCAGTTTACGTTGAACAATAAGATTATTTCAAAGGTGATGAAGACTTATCTTTCAAACTTTGTCTTAGAATAATATAAGAAGAAATTAACATGACTAAATGACAGTTTTTTGTATTAGTCTGAAATGAAAAATTGTTTTGGTGCATTTTTAAATGATTTTCGTAATGGTATGTAATGTAGAGATGCCAATTGCACCGGATGCGGATATATGTTTTCAAGTGATAGTCTTTTAATGTATGACTGGAAAAAAAATTGTCGGTTTTCATGCCTAAACTTTAGTGCTTAATAACAAAACGTACAGAGAGAATATTTTTTTAATTTTAAAAATGTTATATGTTATTGCTGAACCATATATACATGTACTTGCATGTGCACTATACACCGAAGAGCCATTGCATTATGACCACAATGCTAATAACATGTAGGACCACCTTTAGCCCTCAAAACTGCTAGCACCCGCCGTGGCATTGATTCCACAAGGTGCTGATAGGTAGTCTAAGGTATCTGATACCAAGCACTCACCTACTGATCCTGCAATTCCCTCACATTGTGAGGGGGTAGCGTGGCAGTACGAATTTGGTTTTCCAAGTAGAACCACAAATGCTCTATTAGATTAAGGTCAGGTGAATTTGGGGGGCCAAGAAATGACTTGAAAGTCACTGGAATGTTCCTCGAACCAATCCATGACGATTCGACCCTTATGACATGGTGCATTATCCTTTTGGTAAACACCATCCCCCACAGGAAAAACTGTTGCCATGAATGGGTGAACCTGGTTCTATGAGGATTATGGGTCCTATTGTGCCTAATGAAAGCATTGTTCCTGGGCGAGAAACCATGAAAACCTGGGCCAGCCCATTGTTATAGATGGAGGGTGATCGTAATGTAATGCCTTTTTGGTGTATGTATTTCATATTGAGTGCAGATTCGTATTATTAACTTTGAAATATGAAAAGTTATTTATTTAAATTTCTCTACAAGGCGGTTTGGAAGTACATTAATTTAGTTAATAATAAGAATTTAGATTCTTGCAAAAGCATATTTATATGATCGTTAAGTAAATCCATGTGAAAGTTATCAATATAATTTCGAATTTATTTTAATCCTTCTAAAGATTACTCACTTTAATTAAAAAATAGAATTGCATAAAATTTCATAAATTTCATAATCACCAACAAAGGGAAGGAGGGGTACCTTAACAAACTGAAAATTCAAATATTTTTCCGGTATCCAGAAAGTGTGTAAAAACCTGAAGTATGTAAAAAATCTTCCTCCAACCATTAACTTTTTTCAAAAAGAAAAAAAAAAGAAATTGTAACGATTTTATTTCCTTCTGAAAGAGGACAAAATATTCTCGAATTATTGAAAGATAGTGTTCGGCATTTTATCGCACTTGGTGGAGTAATAGATGTAAGTAACAAAGGTGCCCACAGTAGGGTACAAAAAGGGTCTACTCTCCATAATAATTTTTTTGGGGTGATACTTTTCTTTTTAAACATTTTATACAATTTTGTTAAAATATTTAACGAATATATTTGAAAATATAAGGGGTCATTTTTTTTTAATATTTAGGGGAGGGAGAGTTATTAGGAATCTTTTTGCCGCAAAATTTATCAGATTACAAATGTTCTACTTTACAATTTCAAAAAATAATAAATGAGACAAGCACGTTTATAACTTCTGGCATAGTTAGAGAGGAATGGAAGCTTTTTTAATTAGCGGCTTACTTAATACAGCTTAATACAGAATCAGCATTTAAGAAGTCCGGTGATCTTAATACCGCTCTCTCGGTTACTCACTAAAACAGCAATGAATCAACTAGTGGTATCCGTTCACCGAATTTTCTCACAGTTATGAATCTGGGGGCGGAGTTGTGTAGTGTCTCTACCACTACAAAAATACAATTGCAATTCACTAGTATGTAAGACATGTTAACTCGATTCGGTGTCGGGGTACCTCTTCGTAGATGCAGGTTGACTTTGTCGATAACTACTATCCCCCCATATATAGACTATAACATAGGTAATTTTTAATATGACGAAATTCAGAGAACTTTATTTGGAACAGAAACAAAAAGCATGTCTTCGTTGGGTGATTCTTTTTCCATCAAATACAAATGCTGATAAAAGAAACACATTTCAGGATTCACTGCTCATAAAATGATATCTACTTGCATTACTTGTTGAGGTTTTCATAACTCAATGTTTAGAGTCTTAAGAATTGCCTGGATAGGTGCTGTTAACGGGGAAATACCGAATTTGTCATCGTATCCTAATTACGTTAACTTATAAAACGAAAATTAAACTAGATTTTTTTGTCATAACGAAAAATTTAAAAGGTCAAACCTCTGAACAGAAGGTCAGCTCTCCCCTTTTTACGGCCACAGCTACAGCAACAGCAATCTTTAAAGCAAACACAAAGAATCACAAAATATTCATTAACTATAATAGTAATAAGATTATAATTTACAAGTTATATTTACAAGTTACAAGTTATATATATATATATATATATATATTGCATAATAAATAAATACAAAAAGCACAAAAGAAAAAACGAAGAAAATTAATAAAAAGTAAGTTTTATTTACTGCGCATAAACTGCAGGTATATAGAACTTATAAAATAAGTTCATAAAGTAGAGAAAACATGGAAAATTTTACAGAACAATGAAAAAAAAAATAACGGAGAAATGAAAAAAAGGGAAAAAGAAGAAAAAAATTAATAATTAATAAAAAAAAATAATAAAAAGAAGAAAAAAATAAATAAATAACTGGAAAATAAAAGATATCTTTTCATCAGCTCACACGATTATATACGTATGAACTGAAGAAAAGATCATATCTTTTATTTTCTGGATTTTTATTTTTTTTCGGATTTTTTTTTTATATATTAATTTTTATTATTATTATTTTCCTTTTCCCTTTTTTTCATTGTTCTGTAATATTTTCCATGTTTTCTCTACTTTTTGAAAGAATGACAAAAATAAATTTTGCAAAAGATAAATTTTACAAAATTTCTCTTCCATGTAAAAGCGAAAATTAATTTAAAACATCAGCTCTTCTTATTCCTTAATCCATGATGTGTAAGAAGAAATATATTAATCTTTGCTTAAATTACTCAACAGCTCTCGAGTGACAGACGTGTTAGCAACAAATAGTCAAAATAGCTGACAATAATTTTCAAAATATCTACCAATTAACCAAATTTAATTCAATAATAAGCCTACCTTCACCAACAATTTTTCTACCAGGGAGAATAACACCACCGGGATAAGGAAGGCCACCAGATCCCCTAGGAATACCAAGACCAGGGAGCACACCAGGACCAAAAGGAGCACCTCGACGAATCGGATCTCCATAACCATGGAAGCCATCAGGACCCCATCCTATAGAATAATATCATAAATTTAGCATCAATATCATCCGGTCAACGCAGCAAAATGCAGAGTAAATAACACTAATAAGTAACAGTAAGTGTAGAATAAATAACAATAAGTGTAGAATAAATAACAATAAGTGTAGAATAAATAACAATGAGTGTAGAATAAATAACAATAAGTGTAGAATAAATAACAATGAGTGTAGAATAAATAACAATAAGTGTAGAATAACAATAAGTGTAGAACAACAGTAAGTGTAGAACAATAAGTGTTAAAAAATAACAATAGAATGTGAAATTCTTGAAATACAAAATAAGTATTTAAAAGTTTGATTTATGTTTTGTTCTACCTCGAGGAGTCCTGCAGTGGACAGATAGTCCAGACACGGGTCCCAGCAACACCAAAGTCAATCATCACTGGCTGCGGTCAGTGTGCGGGTGGGGGACCACTTGGATCAGTTTGCCTGGGATCTGTGGATGTGCGGTATTGTCCTCGTTAGACTGTTCTACCGTAAAGTT